CAGAGATTCTGCGTGGTTTACTTAATCAGCATCCGCGACCTAATCGGAAATCTTACTTTACCCCTCAACAGAAGCCGCAACTACTGAACACCATCGACCTCTGACTTCACTACCGCATTATCTGGCGAGAACTGGCAGGCATCATTACGTCGGAAAAAGAAGTGCCTGTGGTGAAACTTACAATTGCGTCATCAAGCGTTGAGAGGTTTGGCCATGGCTATGAGGAGTTGGATATGGCGTTTTACTGAGCTAAGTTACCGAGACAAAGCAAGGATGAGCTCCTTATTTGAATGTACCCGTGCCTAGTGCTGCTCGCTGATTTAGATAACACGGTATATCACCTACTAGGCCGTCTATCCGTTTCCCACGTCCTACGTTGGCACCCTACCTTGGTCCATAGTAGTAATATACCTTGCGGATTCGGCTACGCTCTACACCTCGGATATAGCCTTATATTATCCTCGGGTTACTTCCTTCTATCTGGAAACTTTAATTGGCACGACCGCAGCTTTACCCTCGCCTATACTACTACCAGCACCCTCCCCCTTTAGGCCAACCCTCCACGTCCGTGGCGCTACTTTGGGTGAATGACTTCGCTTATTTTTTACGGCTGCTGTGAATCCCTCTTAGATCCATTCTCGTGTAAGTCTCCCGGCGACCGATCTCCCCCATCCTAACACGCTAGTATAGTAGCGAAGTGCCCCGACGTCCTCACTCGGGTACCGGTATGGACATGGGCGACAGGACAGTCGGGGATTAGATTACCTGTAGAGGTATTAAAGCTCCTTGCTCGTCCTAGAAGCTTTTATGCTGGTGTGGTTCTTTCATTTCCTATGATACTAGTAGGCTTTAGCCTCCCTATTCTCCCAGCGGTCCGGCCCCCCACATCCATACCAGAGTAACAGAATTAGCACAGGTTGTTTTGGCTAGATCTCGCAATCAATTTCTAAGATCCTCGTAATGTTGGTAAAACCTAGGGAAAGACACTAAAGAACGAAGAAGTAACCAAGGGACACATATCCAAACAGCTTGTTGGAAATGGCGAGATGCTGCTCGCACCTTTCCCCACCCCCACTACCCCCACTACCCCCCCCCCCCCCTTATTCCCTTTCCTCCCCTCTCCCCATTCCCTTATCCCCCCCTTCCCTTACCGCATAGTTTGCTTGTTTGTTTCTTTTTTTTTTCCCGAAGAGCGCCCGGCAGAAGACCGTGGGAAAGCGCGACGGAAAAGCGTGGTGGAAGGAAGCGTGGGAGAGCGACGGAAAGGCGCACGGCGGGGAGCGCGGCGGAGGAGTACGGGGGAGCGCAGCGGAAGGGCGCACAGTGGTAGAGCGCGAGTTTGTCTTTCCTTTGTTGGCTTTTCTTGTTTGCTTGTATACGGGGGGACTGATCTGTTGGGGGGGGTATGGAAGTTTGCCAGTTGTGGCTCGATAGATATATTCTTCTGTCTTTGCCGTTAGTTAGAAAAAAGTGCGCGATAGTTAGTTAGAGTGTGTGAGAGGGGAGAAAGAGAAGAGAAGAGTTTTCACCGGCTTTAAGCTGGTTACCAGGATTGGGATATGGCTTGTAGTAAATTGCTGCGAATGTTATGATATTAAATGTGAGTTGTGTAATCCCTACGGACACGTGAGTGAGCTTGGCGTTGTTTCGTTTCACAGCCAGTCAATCGGTTAGCTTTCCGATTGGCCCGTTGCGACGGAACCCTGTTCGCTCACCGCTCGTTTAAAACAGTTAACAAGTCCAGAAACTAAAACAGGCTCCACAAATTCTGAAGAAATACATCCTCCTTCCAAATTATGATCCTCCGTCACCTTCTCGCGATCTAGAACCCTCCGGATATCCCCTTATCTCCTGTGGCACCTCAAATTGACTATCATGTTCCCAATGCCATAGGTATTGTTAAACACGATATTCAGACCTCGCATGCGGGGCAATTTTTTCACCCGCATTATGGCTGCGGCCAAGGTATCATACTTCCAGGGTACCTTTCTACCCGCGAGAACTTGCAAACGGGACTGTACTAGTACAAGCTACGGGGGGCACCCGGCCTCACGGAAAATCATAACCCACCTGGATGTGTTTTCTGTGGCCATATCGCGGATTCCCGCTAGAAACTCTAGGTTTGCACTAATCCCTACATGGCCGGGAGACTTCCGGTTGAAACGCTTCACCGACTTTGCTACAGCCGCGTGATGGATTGGACGGAAGTTGGTAAATATAAGTGGTCGTGGGGTTCCGGTTGTGACTACATGCAGCTGGCTTACCAGTTTTTAGGGTCAGGGGCGGGAGATATTCAGTCGTATTCGGGTACGCGAAGTGGATTGGAAATTCCCCCACCGGGAATATGCGCACTGATGCAAGTCCGGAATTTTTCACAGGTGTCATGGAATTATTATTGGTATCATACGGTGAAGGGGTGAAAGAGCACTCGAGTACGTTTAATGTGTAGTTATCACCAATTCTGTGCTCGGTGGCTTGCTCAATTTTCCGGCAAGATGATGTGTGTGATTCGCCTTGAAGAGACAGCACTCTTCAATTAAGAAAGGGAGAGGCTGGTAGGCTAGGACGTCTTTAAAGGGTGGGCCAAAACTACTCTACCGGTATTTGTACATCGCCACCATTTGATAGGTTCAGAGGTACATGCATTATGCGAGTGTTCTGTAAAAAGTCAGCTCATGGAGTGTTTCAAAATGCATGGCTGTGGTAGGACGGAGGAATCTTTTCGCTATCCTAAAGTCTTTGTCGCACCCTGTCTCGCATACCATACCGTGCCAGGCGTGCATCAAATCACGAGCCACAACCCAACCACCGTATGCTCTGGAACACCATGTTTGCTTTTGCCCCACTTTTTCTCAGCCCGGGCGGGGAAGACTTCTGACTTCTGAAGAACAAATTTCATCCCTCCCCACTACCTCAACACACTGTCGCTCTACTCGAGTAGAGGAACACCCATACAACATCCTCACACCAACTGCTCAGCGTCCACAGAAGTGATATCGCCCTAGCTAGGATTATACCCACAGCTCCCTCAAACTTAAGCGACTGAAAAAAACCCCACCCAAGCTTGGGTCCGTCACTACTCGTTTTGGGGTACTACATCTCGGTTATTGAATTGTTTCAGGGTCTCGCGGGAACAATTTCAGACCACCTCGGTGGGCAACAATTAGGCTATACTTCCTGTTTCAATTACGCTAATGACATCTCACAACTTTCATACTCCACCTTCGAAATCAGCCCTAGCGTGAGCCAAAAACAGGATGGATCAGTGGGTTCACCTGCCTTTAATGTCTGCGTAATTAAAAGAAAAAAAGAAGCCCTCATCTAAGCATATTCACAGGAAAATCCAAGCCAATATCTGCGGGGAATTTAGCGGGAATTCAGGGGATCATAATGTCTCGGGTAGCAACAACCATAACCTAAATATGGGCCACCAGAGCTATGCGGCCAATGTCGGAACGATATATCAAGGATGCACATTTAAATCTGAGGAAAGAGGTATGGCCGGCATTCTCGAGAGCTTTCGGCTGGGTGCTGATACGCTACTGTGACCGGAAGAGATATCTAAGCCTTATCGGATAATTCCCTACAGCAGGAATCGCAAATTCACCGGCCGTGAACATCTCATTCACTCGGTAGAAAGGCATTGCAAGCGTGATGGCCACAACCGGATAGCTCTTCATGGATTAGGAGGTGCTGGGTATGTGTATTCAATGATTGTATATCCGGATCGTTTACTAACATGGCTCAGAAAAACTCAGATCGCCCTCGAGTACGTTTATCGGCGCGCAAGTGAGGGCGATTGTGACATATTCTGGGTGCAAGGAAGTGGAGCGTTAAAGTTTAGGGAGGACTTCAGGGCTATTGGGAAACACGTTCGGAATCCTCTAGCTAGCGCTGAGACGGAAGAAGAGGGATTCCTATTAAGTATAAAGAGGTGGTTTGAAGGCCGAGACAACCGTGATTGGATCCTAGTAATTGACAACGCCGACAACGAGGAGGACTTTGCTGGCAACAACAGTCCCATCGCTAGGTTTATGCCACATGGCCCGAGAGGCACTCTAATATTCACCACCAGATCTCGCCAGGTTGCATTCCGGCAAGAGTGCGAAAGGATTAGTGTTGAAAAAATGGCCACGGATGAGGCCAAGGCACTGTTTTTCGAACACTTTGGAAACTGGGGAAGTTTGAGGGATGGGGAAGAGGAGGTTGTTGCCATGATCCTGGGTTCGATTGATCACCTGCCGCTGGCTGTTGTAGGTTCAGCAGCTTTCATGGCCGAGACCGAGACACCACCCTCCGACTACTGGACAATTTTCCGAGAGAACGATCAGCGAAGGACGAAGCTACTCTCACAACAGTTTAGCGATATCCGCCGGGAGTCTGACGTGACAGAAAGTATCTTGAGCACGTACTTCATCACCTTTGACCGAATTACGAGGCAGATGCCGACAGCCGGCCATCTCTTGCGGCTAATTGCATTTGTGGATCGCCAAAATATACCCGAGCAGCTCCTGAGAGAATGTGGGGTTGAAGGGATGGATGATCCTGTTGAATTCCGTCGGGCTGTGGGGAAACTATTGGGATTCGCATTAGTTACCGCCACCAAACACGAAGGCGTGGCATTTTATGAGCTTCACCGTTTAATCCAGCTATCGATACAGGCCTATTCATCACCGGAAGAGTTGCAGCGATGGAGTGACAACGCACTAAGAATAGTTTCCCGAATGTTCCCTAAATATGAGCACGAGCTGCGGGATATTTGCAAGTCATACGTTCCCCATGCACTTGCGGTAACCAAAGGTAGAATGGATATTATTTCCGAAGATCTTTGCTTCCGCATGGCAGAATACTTTCTTCATTTGGGATCCTACAACAATGCAGAAGCACAGATCGGTCGATGTATCAGATTTCGCGAGGAGAATAAGGAGCAAGCCTGGGATAAAGGTCATAGCAGATTCACGCTCCTGGGGCGAGTGAGGGCACACCAAGGGAGGGCTAAGGAGGCGGAGGAGATACTTCGGAATGCTCTGGAGGATCTTGAGGGGTTATTGGGTCCCAATTCTTCTGACGCCTTGGAGTGCTTATCCTACCTGGCAAGTGTGATGCGTGACCTCGGAAAGTACGATGAATCGGAGACCATGAATCGGCATGCACTCGAGGTGCGTGACAAGGTTCTCGGGAAAGACCACCCGGATACCCTAACAAGTGCCAACAACCTGGCGCTGGTGCTGCAATACCAGGGAAAGTATGATGAATCAGAGACCGTGAATCGGCGTGCATTGGAGGGATGGGAGAGGATTCTTGGAGCAGGCCATCCAGACACCCTCATAAGTGTCAGCCACCTGGCTATTGTGCTGCGGAGACAGGGAAAGTACAGCGGATCGGAGGCAATGAATCGGCGTGCCCTGGAGGACCGGGAGGAAGTACTCGGACCAGACCACCCCGACACCCTAACAAGCCTCAACAACCTGGCTATCGTGCTGGAATACCAAGGAAAGCACGGTGAATCAGAGAAGATGAAGCGGCGTGCACTTGAGGGACGCGAGAAGGTTCTCGGACCAGACCACCCCCTCACCCTAGCAAGCCTCAACAACCTGGCTATCGCGCTGGAATACCAAGGAAAGTACGGGGAATCAGAGACGATGCATCGGCGTGCACTTGAGGGACGCGAGAAGGTTCTCGGACCAGACCACCCCGACCCCATAGCAAGCCTCAACAAC